TATAAGATGCTTTATTAAGTGTTAAGCATTGCCATTACTGCAAATGTTCTGTGTAAAACTTGTCTCTCCTTTATGAATTATAAATTCTTTGAGGAAGAAGATATCTCATACTGTCTTTTGTATTTCTCTACAATAACTAACCCAAAAGGTGGAATTAACTTTTTTGTTCTTTGTTCTGCCTGGTGGCACACAGTGACAGATTACTCAATAAGCAAGATACGCACAGACCTAATTGTACTTATCTACTAATCTGTAGTACACAATTTCACCTGTTTTTCACCATATCAAAGATATTGTGAAACTGTACACTACACATTAGTAAGTAAACACAATTAAGCCCATGCATACCTTGCTTACTGTAAACCCATGCATACCACGCTTACTGGTTAACCTGCCCCTGGTGGTGTAACATTTAAGCGCTCAGCTGCTAACTGAAAGGTTGACAGTTTGAACCTACCCAGCAGCTCTGCAGGAGAAAGATCTGGCAGTCTGTTCCCTGAAAGATTACAGCCTAGAAAACCCTATTGGGCAGTTCTACTCTGTCACATGAGGTTGCCATGAGTCAAAATCGACTCAACGGCAGCTAACAACATACATACACATATATACCTACCTATCTACCTACCTACTTATCTATCTATCTATCTAACTGTTCTGTTTCTCTGTAGAACCCTAAGACACATACAAATAAAAATATCTCTTCTATCTAATTTAATTCCCTAAACTAATTTCCCTCCTTTTTCTATTCTTGGAGAAAATGAAAAGCAAGTGGTTTCCATTTTCTGTAAAAAGTGCTTCATTAATTCCAGAGGAATCAATACATACTTTAGCTTTTATAAAAGACAAAACTATACAGATAAACTGGTTAGAGATAAACAACGTGGTATTCCAAAAATGGAAGTTAAGATTGATTGTTTAGAAATAATAAGATAATTGAAAAGTTAAGGAAAATATCCTGTGTGTTGAATGAATGAAACTTGCCATCACTATGTGATGACACTAGCTGTAATATCCTCTAATTAACTACCTTTACTCATCAAACATCCATGGATTAAAACTTGGGTTTCCTATGTAGTTTCCACTCAATGAAAAATTGGGCTCATCAACCAACTCCCTATTCTGATCCTCTTTGGGATTAATAAATTAGCATTCTGATTTATAGATAACCTCCTGTGTATTGAATAATGTGAGCCTCTCCTCTAGAGACAACCACTTCCAGGCATGTTGATAAATACTGAGATTTGCAAAGCGGAGTATCAAACTCTGAAATGTACCACACCAAAGTATAACCACCTCGTACAACTCCTTCTAAGTATCTAGCTGGCTTCCTAAGATGACATACTGCTCACCTCTTCAAAATGCAACGCAGGCTGTAGAAATATAGGTACATACATTTAATGTACCAATAATGCTAACATGACTCCAGTATAAAAGGGGGAGAAAGAATTTAATGTTAACAATAATGAAGAATTAACACTGAAATCACCTAGCAGATTGCAAACATATAAATTACTCATGCCAAAATATTTTTAAACATTTTAAAAACATCAAAAATTTTAAAAATTAAATGCTTACAGTTCATAAAGTGACTTTTTTCTTTTTTTTTTTTTTTTTTGCTGTTTAAAGATTTCTATTACTTTGTGTAGTAACTCTGTGAATGCACGTATGAAAAGCATTTTGGATTTATGGAAGTTTAAAACTCTTTGTAAAACTCAGACTCCAGAAATGAAACAAATTAAATAAATATTTATTCTATTTGAATAATTTCATCTGAAATTTTCCAACCTTATATACTTTAGAAATTAACCTAAGTGCTGTTAGCTGTGTTATTTTTGTTTAATAATGGAAGGTGTATATTTGGAGGTACACAAAATTATGGCACTTTTTCTGTACACATTCTTCAGTCACTGAACTGACAGAAGTGTGATTTTTAAATTAGTGTTTCTGAATAAAGAAACTTTTCCTGTACTTTCAACA